CTGCAGACTCTTGCCCAGATCTCAGCTTTGGATATTGGCGCCCACGTGGGCCCACCCCGGGCAGCAGAGAAGGCCCAGCTGACAGGAGGTAAGGTGTGGGGCTGGGAGGCTGGGGTGCCTTCCTTTGGGAGATTCCAAGTTCTTTGTTCCCACCCTCAGGAATCCTGTTGAATGCTATCCTTGCAAACTTCTCCCGGGTCCAGCGACTGGGGCTGCCCCTCAAGATGGTTATGTACTCAGCTGTGAGTCCTTGGGAAACAGTGCCATGTGGCACTGAGGCATGGGGATGAGGGTGACAGCAGTTTGGGTGAGGAAGAGTCTGTGCTCCCAATGTAGCCCACTGCATTGGGTAACCAGTATCTCCAAACCCTACTCTTGGAGTATATCATTAGAAGAGAGTCTGGAAAGAGGGGGGTGATGGTGTTGTGGAGTTCCCCCTCTGGAAGGACAGGCTTAGTCCAATCATACTGTGCGTCTATTTGAGCTGTCTTTATTAAACGACTGTAACTGATGGCACTGCCTTCAGGGTGAGGGAGGAGCAGGTTTGGGGAGTTGATTCTAAGAAGCCTGGGGGACATCTGGATGCACAAGCCTAGTGTTGAGGGGAAAGGAGACCTCCAGAGAGAAGTGCCATCTCAGCCCTTGGGTCCACCTGCAGCATGACAGCACCCTACTGGCCCTCCAGGGGGCCCTGGGCCTCTATGATGGACACACCCCGCCGTATGCTGCCTGCCTTGGCTTTGAATTCCGGAGGCGCCTGGGGGATCCTGACGAAGACGGAGGGTGAGGATGGGGTAGTGCCAGGGAGACGGGTGGGAAAGAACCCTCAAAGCAAGGGGTGAAGTGTGAGGTAGAGGGCATGGCCGGCAGGGAATTGCGTGGGATGGTGCTGGGACAAAGACAGGTGGGAGTCAGGAGCCCATTTCTGTTTTAAGGTCAATGACGGGGCAGGGAAGAGGTGCCACTGTGTCCTCTCTCTCCAGGAATGTCACCATCTCTCTCTTCTACCGCAATGACTCTGCCCACCTGCCCCTGCCTCTCAGCCTCCCCGGGTGCCCGGTCCCCTGTCCACTAGGCCGCTTCCACCAGCTGACTGCCCCGGCCCGGCCTCCGGTCCATGGGGTCTCCTGCCATGGCCCCTATGAGGCTGCCATCCCCCCAGGTGACGGTCCTCTGTGCTGGGGTGGGAGTGGATCGTCCCAAGTCCTGGAACTCATACCCATGTTCTCCCTGCAGCTCCAGTGGTGCCCCTGCTGGCTGGAGCTGTGGCTGTGCTGGTGGCGCTCAGCCTGGGGCTGGGCCTGCTGGCCTGGAGACCAGGATGCCTGCGGGCCTTCGGTGGGCCTGTGTGAGCCAGATAGCAGGACTTCCCTATCCCCAGCTGACACTGGACCCCAACATGTGTGCTTACTGGCTGCTCTGACTTCTGTGACTTACTGTGCGCCTGTGTGCATGGGGAACAAGGGCTGGGTGGGTTCTCTGGCCTGAAAACCAGTGTGTGCATGTCTGTATGATAGTGGCATCAGTGTTCACATGTCACGTGCATGAACAGTTTCTGCACTTAGTGCATGCACAGGTGGTTTGTCTGTGGCACACATTCAAGCACAAATGTGCACGTATCTGAATAAGTGGGGGTACGTACAGGCAGGCATGCCTGCATGGCGCTTGTTTTGGTAGAAACAGGGTCTCTGTGGCCCAGGCTGGAGTACAGCGGCATGAGCATAGCTCACTGCAGCTTTGAACTGGTCTCAAGTGATCCTGTTTCAGCCTCTATAGGTGTGCATCACGCCCAGTTAAATTTGTTTTCTCAGTATGTTTGTCAGGCTGGTCTCAAACTCCTGGCTCAAGCAATCCCCTTCTCCCAAAGCACTGGATTACAGGTGTGAGCTACAGCGTTCGGCTGGCTTGTTTATGCATGTTTCCATACAAGCATGGGCGCAGGTGGGTATCTGAGGACATGGTGGGCCCTGCAAGCACTTCTGTGCAGCTCGTGTGGCAAGAGCTTGCTCAGCAAACCTCGATGTGGGCCACGTGCTCTGCAGAGATCGGGCTCACAGGAGTTGGACCCTCAAGTCTGGTTCTTTGGTAACCCTGACTAGTTCTCAATGCAACCATGAACATGGGTGGGGTGAGGGGGATCTGGCAGCAGAGAGCTTGGAAAGGTGCACAATTCTAAGCCTGGTTTTGCAGCTGGCACCAATTCTAAGGCTGTGTGACTCTGGGCAAGTGACAGGCCTCTCAATGTCTCATTTGGCAGAACCACGCCTCTAACCCTATGGACTCCACAACTCCCAAAATTAACTTCCTGGAGGCCAGCAGAGAGCTGGGAGAACCGGTGACACTCTGGCCTGTGCGCCATGACTTGTGCTGCAAGTGATGTGGAGACACAGGCCAATACAGTACCCATGACCACATGTAGCCATTTAAATTTAAATAGCTTTCAGGTCCCAACTGCTGCACGGGCCACGCATTCACCACTGCATTTACCAGATGCTGATCAGTCACCCCACATCCACTCATGCAGCAGCAGCCACTGCAGACCACCTGCACCATGGCCGTTTTAAGCCCCTGCCCCCAGGAGGGGAGGCTGTCCCCTAGTGTGGCCTGGGGCAGTGCCAGCCCCTCCCAGGCCTTGCCCCACACCCATGGTTGCGTGGCACTAACCAGGGCACTCATGTGGAGCCCAGGTGCAGTGGACACTCACAACAGCCACTTGGCCCCTATTAGATGGGGCAGTAGGAGGTTCAAAGCCACTCCCAGCAACCAGGACCTAAACAAGGCACAGGGTCCAGAAAGGCTGGGGGGTGGAAGCTGGGACTATCTCTTCACCACACCAGGGCCACCTGCATACTCCCCTGGCCCATTTCTTCCCAAGGTCCTGAAGGCAGCCTGTCATACACTCACCCCTGGGGGCCCCCAGATCTCCCTCACTGCCCTGCCTGGCATTCCCTAGAGGCGCTGTGTGGTCAAAGGGCCCCCCAAGTGGATGCCAGGCACCATGACCCCAGAAACCCTGAGGAATGAATGTCCCTCCATGCTTTCTGGCCCTGGGAGGTGCCAGGTAGGGCTACCTGTGATTGTAACCAACTACCTGGTGGCATGTGCCACCCCTTTCCCAGCAGCCTGCTGGAAGGGCCTGTATGCATCTCCCTTGCCCTGCAACCCCACCACAGACCCAGCTCACCACCCGAGCCCACAGTGTTAAGCACTACAGTTGGGAGTGGTATGTCTGTTGTTTAATGGGCCTGTGTGCACAAGACCCCAGTTATGAAGTCAGAACTGCCAGGGCTCGCTGTGTCCTCACAGAACTGTCACCTGTGATCCTGGCCCCAACACACCCCAACCCAGACTCAAAACTCAGACCAGACAAGCCACACAGTCAAACCAGACCTATCAGAAGGGACTGGCTGCCCACAGCCAAAGCATGTGGCGCAGTGGCTCACGCCTGTAATCCCAGCACTGTGAGAGGCTGAGGGGCGTGAATCACCTGAGGTGAGGAGTTTAAGACCAGCCTAGACCACACTGGTGAAACCTTGTCTACTAAAAATACAAAATTAGCCGAGTGTGCTATCGGGTGCCTGTAATCCCCAGTACTCGGGAGGCTGAAACAGGAGAATCACTTAAACCGAGGAGGTGGAGACTGCAGTGAGCTGAGGTCGCGCCACTGCACTTGAGCCTGGGCAACAAACAAATCTTACAAAAACTGAGGAAAAGCTTGAAGATGCTTTCATCATGGGTGTGGGGTCTCCCTGCTTGGCCTGGAGTGCTTTGGGGACCCATGTGACACAGGTAGTACCCATTGTGCCCACCTACCCTGCTGCCTGGGCAGAAATGTAACATGGCACGTGATCACTCCCCCTAGGGACTCATGGGGTCTACTCACAAGGCCTGCTCCCCTCATGTTTGGCCAGTGACACCCACAGGGGAGGGTTGGGGGCAGACACCCTTCTCTTCTGGGGCCCTTGAACATGGTGTCAGGCTTTGGCTTGCTCAAGGGACACTAGAGGGCTACACAGGGAGGGTAATGGCCAAGGCTTTTTTTTTGCCTTCCCTACCATGTCCTGTGCTTCCTGATTGCAGCTCACACCAGGAGCAGCTTCCCCAGGACCCAGCCTCCCTGCTTTACGCCTGGAGCACCAGACTGGGTGGTGTCTGTCCTCCAGAGCCAGGCCCAGGGCTGGCTGTGTACACGGGCAGCTACTCCCCACAGGTCTGGTCAGAATAGGGGGGCAGTGGCGGCTCCTTCCCCAGCTTATCCACCTTCTCCTGGGCTTGCGGCTCAGCAGCCAGGTCCTGGTGCACTGGGTTGGGTCCTAGCGTGAGCTTGGTGGCCTGGCTGGCCCTGGCACAATGGAGATGAGACTGCTGTTGGCGATGGTCTGGATCTCCAGGACAGCCTCCAGCACCATCATGCCCTTGACCAGTAGGCGCTGGTGCAGGCCCTGGCTAACAGGCATGTCCTTGGGCGTCATGGCTCAGGAGCAGAGGACAAGGAGGGAGAGGAAGCTAGATGCCCCTGTCCATGGTGGGTTGGGGCTGGAAGGGCAGCTCAGTGGCCTCAACGTGCAGGGAGGTCTCCCAGCTAGCACCAGGCTATCAGCAGCCAGGCAGGCACTGCTGTGCCACTATCACCTTCAGGGCCTTGCAGTGGTAGCTAAAGATGACACCATTGTCAAGTTGGATCAGGTCACCCGGCAGCAGCTGGAGCTCTCAAGAGCTGAGGCACAAGACAGGGCTCCCAGCTGTACACTGGCAGGACCCAGGAGAGCTGACTGCAGTTCTGCCCCAAGCGCCAAGAGAGCCAGGAGCTCAGTGTCCTGCGGCACGAGCAGAACCAGCCCTGGCCCAGGTGGGTGGACGCCAGCACATTCCTAGTCATGGCTGCCGCCACGCCTAGACAGGAAGCAGCAGAGAGCCTGGAGGGATGCTGTCAGGTGAAGGACACAGAAAAGGCACTCAGGGGGGCAACAGCCACACCCCACCCATCACCTCCTGAAGTAGGGTCCCTCAGGCCCCTGGGTGTCAAAGGTCCCGGGGGGCGGCCCACTGTGTCCTCAGGGGCAATTGGAGCACAGTGCTGGACATCATGGGGTCCCCAAGTGCAGCCCTTTCAAGAACACTGACACTGGGCATCTTGCTGCAACCCAGCCCCAACCCCCATCCCAACCCGCCCACAACAGATTGGTTACTAAGGTTAAGCCCAGGGCTTACGGCAGCACCTGGCTCAGCACTTGCTGGGCACCTGTCTATGTCTGCCTTCTCACCATCACCATGAATAACAGGCAGCCCCCTCCGTTCTTACCAAGTGATGGTCAGGCCCTTCAGCACCTGGAGGTAGGAGGGCAGAGAGAAGGGAGGTCAGTGGGGTACAGGGCAACCAAGATACCCCCTCATCCCTCCCTAGAGCCAGAGCCTCTCAGACCCCCGGGTGTCAAAGGTCCCGGGGGGCACCATGTCCTCAGTGGCAATCGGAGCCCAGTGCTGGACATCATGGAGGCCCTGGTGCCCTCAGCCCCCTCCTGATGCAGGTTCCAGGGCCACCTGCTGTCCTAAGGGGGACATCACGGAAGAGTGCTGAGCAATCAGGCAACAAAGCGAATGATACTTGGTCCTGCGGGTGCCAGGCCACCCCCTGTCCAGCTCAGCCTGGGGGTGGCTCCTCGTATATCTAAGCCCACTGACCTCACCACCCCCCAGCGGTGTTTCTCTGGAAGATGGGACTAGAGATGCCTGTAGACAGGCGCATCTGTGGGGTTCGGTGAGAGCATGAGGTCAAACCTTTCTGCTTGGGCCTTCTGTGTCCTAACGGGACGCCCCTCCATTGCCTCTGTCAGCATCTCAGGCCTGCTGCCCTGACCCAGTTCTTCCAAGCTGCTCTGACTTCACCGGAACCTTCTGTGACATGGGGAAGGGGCAGCTGCCTCTCACTGGGACCCTGGCAGGATCTGTTCAGTTGATTCTCTGCAAGCAGCAACACTGTGGGTGCTCCTTCAGTGCCAGCTGCTGTTTAACGCCAACAGAAACACTAAAAGCTCCACTTTACATAGAAATGTGCTGTCCAAAGAGGGGGCCCTTGTTTAAACTAACCGAGAAGAATTAAAAACCCAGCTCCCAGTCACACACTGGCCACATACTGTGCGACCCCGGCTGTGGGACCCCGACCCACGGAGGCAGGCGCTCAATAGACTCGAGGCAGGACGCGTGGTGACCAGTACCGACTTTATTGGGATCTCCGGGCGACTCAAGAGGGAAGGGAGGAATCGCGCGTGCTTTCTTTGTTCGGTTGACTTTATAGGGACAGAGGGCCTGGGGCGGTAGGAGAGCTGACCCGGCGGGTAGTAATTGGCTAGGTTGATTGCTGGGCAGGAAGCCTGCCGGGCGGGAGCTTGTGGGACGGGAGGTTACGGGAGAGCTGGTGGGGCGGATGGTGATTGGTTCAGTGGGCCGCTGGGCGGGAAGGTTGCTGGTCTTGGGCCGGGCCAGGATAGAGTGAGATGAGGGACCCTCCCTGTGGGGGAGGAAGGGCCTTCCTTATCGGGAATTAGGCCCTTTCCACATGGCTGGGGAACGGGGCCAAAAGTCCTCTACCAGACACATACCAGGTGTCCAAGAGCCACCTGTGGCCAGTGGCAGCCAGACTAGACAAGGCGCAGAACATTTCCATCTGACGGTCCTACGGAGGGCGCTGGTGTAGAATCCAGAGGCTACACGTCCCGTCTTTCCTGTCCCATGCCAGGTCTCTCTTCTCACCTCTCTCTCACATCCCTACCCAACTGGCACCCACCCCACTCCTTATGTCCCCTCTAAGCCAGCCATGACAAATGCTCAGCCCCATTCACTATCCCAGAGGATTAAGATCACACGACCCTCAGAGAGATACTCAGCAGAGCTGAAATCCCAGCCAACCCTCCTCAGAAGCCAGCTTCCTTGCCAAAAACAGCTGAAACCTCCAAGAACCCAGAGAACACACTTCAGTTCTCTTTCACTGCAGCCACTGTTCTCCCAGCTCCTGACATCTAAGAAACAAATGAAAATCCTCCCAGAGCTGAGAACACTTCTTTTCTGGTAAAACACACCCTACCCCAACACTTTTCTAATGACTTTGCTCTTTGAAACAATTCTGATAACGCCTGTTAATTTTTATTGTGAAAATAAGGATTCCTTGTATAGTATCAATTTATATACAAACACTGGGGCTACGCTTTGCTTAACGCACATCGCATTCAGCCTACAAAACCTACGATGCGATACGACAGAACACCTGAGAGTCACTGTTTGCCACTGCTGAGTTTTGACATGTTTCTGATTAGTCCTTTCCCCTGAAACAAATGCCTTTTTCCTTCAGTCCTTGCATTCCTCCTTATTGAAGCCCTATCTTTGGAAGACAGAAAGCACTACTGCCCTGGGCCATCTGCTCGGTGCCTGTTCCACAGACACAGCAGTGAGGCACAGGAGCAGTGGCCTGGTGAATGTCTCCAAGCCTGCTGGGATTTGGATCCAGGCCTGCCTACCTGCCTAGTTTTCCACAGCTATAAGGATTTTTTTTTTTTTTGGAGGTGGAATTTCATTCTTGTTGCCTAGGCTGGAGTGCAATGGCACGATCTCAGCTCACTGCAACCTCCACCTCCTATATTCTAGGGATTCTCCTACCTCAGCTTCCCGAGTAGCTGGGATTACAGGTATGTGCCCACCATGTCCAGCTAATTTTTTGTATTTTTCATAGAGACAAGTTTTCACAATGTTGGCCAGATTGGCCTTGAACTCCTAACCTCAGGTGACCCACCCACCTCGGCTTCCCAAAGTGCTGGGATTACAGGTGTGAGCCACCACGCCCAGCCTGACATGGCTTTGGTACGTAAACCCTGAGTACAATCGTTAGCACATAAATCAGTCCCCTGAGGTAAGGTATGAAGTCAACCTAGGCAGTGATATTTCAAACCAGGTGAATCAAGGAGCAAGAGCAAGGTTCTTACCTCACTGGGCACAGTGGGTGGTCCTCAGCTGGAAGCTGCACCTGTAACAGAAAGACAGTGAGGCTGGAGAAACAGTCTGCAGGTCCATGAACCATTAGGACTGGGGCCCCTCAGACCCCCAGGTGTCAAAGGTCCTGGGGTGCACTGTGTCCTCAGGGGTGATCGGAGCCCAGTGCTGGACATCATGGGAGCCCCAGCCCCTCTGCAACCAGGCCTGAGGTGACTTACCTTAAGGGACAGAGGCCGAGCTTAAAGAGTAGGAAACGCAAAACCCATCCAGAAGGTAAGAAGGATGAGTTTTGCTCATGGAGACACCAAGATGACCCAACCTCCCGTGCCACAGGTCCTCAGGGTACTGTCCTCATGGGATGGGTAGGACCCCAAATGCACTACATGAAGATGTCCCTGGTGTCCACCCCCTACCCTTTGCAGATTTCTGTAGCACTGGCTATACCTGCTGGTAACCCACAAACAAGGAAAGCTGCCAAGGCACAAATCCCTTGGATGAACTTACTGAGAGACGGGAGGAGGAAGGGGCTGTTCTAGGAAGAAAAGAAGCCAACTTGTAAGTAAGAATTAATGGGCAGAGACCCTGGACTGGGTCAGGTTTAAACATATCAGATGTGAAAGACATCTGGAAGACGACGAAGGAACAGGCACAAAGCAGACTGTTAAACTGCAGTATTAAGGAATTAATGTCATTAAGGGTGACAATGGAAATAACATTTAGTACAAAAGTCATTTTAGGTATACAAGTACACTATTTTAGGTGAAATATGAAACTTTCTTTCAAGAGTCCGCTGTTGCCCACGCTGGAGCGCAATGGCGCAGTCTCGGCTCACTGCAACCTCCGCCTCCCAGGCTTAGGCAATCCTCCCACTTCCTCCCCCAAGTAGCTGGAACTACAGACCTGCACCACTACACCCGGCTCACTTTATCTTTTGTAGAGATGGGGTTTTGCCATGTGGCCAAGGCTGGTCTCGATGTCCTGGGCTCAAGTGATCCACCCACCTCGGTCTCCCAAAGTGCTGGGATTACAGGCATGAGCCACCACACTGGGCCACAAAACTTCCTTTCAGAACACTAAGCGCACACATAGTTTTTAAATATGGTAAGATGGTACAAATGTTAAACTTCCCCATTTGTTTGTAGATTTTAATATTGCCGAAGGAGAGCAAGTCAATGATGAATGCATGAGAAAAATACCTTCACTTGTGACATGAACAAACTTAATGATTTTCTCAGCAGTTACTCGAAGGAGGGAAGTTAAGTAGAGATCCCTGCTGGGTTGTAGTGGGGGAGAGAGGAAATTGGCTAGCTGCTTCTAGGCTGGGCCTTCTTGGCAGGGGCACGGGCCCCACTTAAGTCAAGAAACCCATGTTCAAGACCTCGAAGGACCTAAGCTAAAAACTAACATTAACAAAACCTTCTCATGGGTCAGAATGACTCCTGCAGGTAAACAAAGGCCTCGTCTGCTTTCTTCTAAGTCCATTCCTACATGGTTCTCAAAAAAGCCCCAGCAATTCAACTAGAAACAGTTAAGGCCAGCCGAGAGAAAGGACGAGTAGACCCGAAGTCAGGCAAGCAAGTTTATTGACCTGCCAGGCTGCTCCTTAGGAGTCAGAGGCAGCAGCCCTGAGCTCACAAAATGAGGTTTATAAGGGCAAGAGAGGCCTAAGAGAGTATCTGGGTATGACCACATCCCCAAGTTGTCAGTTAATTCTGCCACATTATCATCTCTCGACAGACTTACATTATCTTGTGAAAACAAGAATTTACCAGGACATACAACTTAGGTTTGGTCAGGTTTCTCATAACCTCCCCCGTGCCGCCCAGATGGCTGTAATCAGGGCTTGCTCAATGTAACAGGTCTGGTGACCTTGCTGTGGTGCCTAGGTAAGAATTTAGGAATGCAGCTGCAGAGCCTTCAGGGGAAGGGTCAGCTGCACCTGGGAGTTTCCTGGGGTGGCTTGTCCCTAACAACCCAGCCTTTTAGTAGGTAACAGAAGAGGGGTGCCATTGTCATCTGGTTGCTTCCTGCTGGGGAGGGGCGATGGTTGTGGGGACAGGCTGGATGGTAGGGATCGCTGTTTCTGGAACCGTCGGTATTCCTGGAGCAGCACCATATACCATACAGTCCCATGGGGGAAGACTCTAATACGGTCCTGTAAGAGCTGGGTGAGGAGACATGAGGTAGGGACCATACAGGGTCCAGCCCTACAGGGGCCAGTGAGTCCCTCCCTGCTGGCGTGGAGACAAGAAATTGGAAATAAAGACATAAGACACAGAGACAGAGAAAAAAGTTTGGGCCCAGGGGTCCACTGCTACCCAAAGCGCAGAGACCAGCAGCGGTCCAGCATGCAGGGACACTCCCACTTTTATTGAGTTGCAAATCTGGGGACAGGGTAGGTAGGGCATGACAGTGATGGGGTCAAGTACGTCACATGTGATTCAGGCAGGAATTTTCTGTAGCTGAGATGAGGTAAGGGGCATAATGCATCAGCACTTTTTCCATACTTGTCACAAA